CGGGGGGCACAGACAGCTTCTCCCCACCAGGGCCCGTCAAAGTGAAAGTGGAGGCTATTGTTATCTCGGATGAGGAGCCGGATGTGGCCGAGCCACGGAGCCTGGAGAGCCTCTTCCCACGCGAGACGGGCCCAGGCGGGGGCTGCGGGCGCCATGCTGAGGCCTTCGAGGAGCCGGCGGGGCTAGAGGAGGCATCACCTGAAGCCGGCTTCCTGGCACCGGAGACACTGCCGCCGTACCACATGATGTCAGTGCCGGGCAGTCAGGCCTACCCTGGGCTGGTGACGCCGCCCCTGGCAGAGCCCATGTACCTGCCCGAGTACGAGGCGCACAGCGGTTTTGGGCTGTTTGCTGAGGATGTGCCAACTTGCAAGACCTGTGGCAAGACCTTCTCGTGCTCCTACACGCTGCGGCGCCACGCCACCGTGCACACCCGCGAGCGCCCCTATGAGTGCCGCTACTGCCTGCGCAGCTACACGCAGTCCGGGGACCTCTACCGCCACATTCGCAAGGCCCACAACGAGGACCTGGCTGCCAAGCGCTGCAAACAGGACCTGGACAACCCCTCCTAGGGCCGGGCCAGAGTCCCCCGCTGCGGGGGGCTGGGGCTGGGAGTCGCAGGACTCTGCTCCCCCCAGCTGTGGGGCGAGGGGACCCCGTGTCGAGCGTTCAACCCACCCACTGTCTTCCAGCCCCAACCAGATGGGGATGGGGCCAGTCCCAGGGCCTGACATGCCACTGGCTCCTGTACATAGTTTGAACACAGCTGCCTCCCCAGGCCCCACTTGAACTTGACCCCAGTGGGGGGTGGGGGAGTGTCCATGTGCTCATGGCTGGTCAGTGCTGTCCTTAGTTGTGGCTCTTCAAAAAGGGTGAGAATGAGGTTTGAAGACCCCGATCCAAAGCAGCTGCCCCATGTCTCTGAGCCCTACAGGGGGTCTGGTTTCTGTGAGCCTGCCCTGGCCTGGATGCGTGTCTGGTATTTGCCGCTGCAGCAGGCTGGGACTGGGGAGGGGGGAAAACCGTGGCTGGGACTTGAGGTCTGTAGTAAAGCCAGCACTGAGCTCTCCCACTCTCTGCGCCTTGCTCTCTCTTGCGCCGCCTGCCTCCTGCTCAGGCCGAAGCCTTCTCCCCAGGCTGCTGGGACAGGACGGGGCACTGCTCAGGCACCACCAAGCTGAGTGCTGTGGGACATGGGGCAGAGCCAGGTCCTGCGTGCCTTATCTCTGTGCATGTACACCCCTCAATGCTGGAGACAGTGTTTCACCCGTGGCCTGGCTCGGTGGGGAAAGAAAAGGTGTGAATCACTTCCTCCCTTGGCCCCCAACCATATACCTACTTCTGTCCCTACTCCCTCCCCCCCCCAGCTCTGTCTCAGCAACCCCCACCCAGGTAGCTTCAAGCCTCAGGCCATAACCCACTGGGCCCTGGTCCAGCTGCCGAAGACAGAGACAGGGCAGGTCACAACAGACTTTGCCTTCCCCAAGTTTCCTGTGGATGCACATCCCAAATCCTGGCCCCCTTCCCTCCCACCAGGCATCCGGACGCCTTTACGGACTCACCAACAGCAGCCTGGGTCCAGGGGAGCCAGGACACCCCGTGCCCCACTGATCCCATGAGTAGTGGAGCTGGTGCCTTCCCTTCCCACTGCCCCTACCGCATCCCCCTTCTGACCCTGTGCAGTTCCCCTCCACCCTCCCCCCGGGGCAGCTGTGTGCACGCATGTGCAGAGGGAGACCCAGGTGCAGGGGGAAGGAAGGGGCCGTGCTCCCCCTGTGCAGGACTCCATCCCAGCCTCGTGGTGGGGTGCAGCAGTGGATCTGTGCAATGAGAAGGGGCAAGTCTGAGCCACGCCCCATGGGAACATCTAAGAACCGTCCACATGGGCAGCCTGCTCCAGAGTCACTCCAGCCTGGCACAGCACCAAGCAGGATCCTCGAAGTGTCTATGCGGCTCCGGCTGGACTCGGGCGCCCGAGCCGCGGCCCT